TGGGGGAAATTAGGTTAAAGTTAAGTAAAGGGTTAGGGTTAACTAAAATGCAAAAATTAACTTTTGACGTCAAATTGAAATAAACTGTATTAACTAGCCATGACCAGGTTGGGGCGGATTGGTGTCCTGCCTAGGCATAATGCAATTTCCTAAAAGAGGACTAACACGAAAAAGACAACTAAATAACATAATTACATAATCACTATGTAATTACTATACCATGTTATGTCAGTAAATACTATAATAAACAGTTATCCAGATAATTACTATAATACAGTTATCCTGATCATTACTATAATAATTATAACAACAACAAAAAACATTCAGCCTTATTGCTTTTCACAATTGTATTCGGCACAAAATGCTTTACAGAATATCATTATAATGTTTATTTAAATCCCCAGCACAGCAGGCCAACAGTAGTAATGATCAGGATAACTGTGTATTATAGTAAATATCAGGATAACTGTTTATTATAGTAATTATCAGGATAACTGTGTATTATAGTAATGATCAGGATAACTGTGTATTATAGTAATTATCAGAATAACGGTTTATTATAGTAAATATCAGGATAACTGTTTATTATAGTAATTATCAGGATAAATGTTTATTATAGTATTTACTGACAAAACATGGTATAGTAATAGATTAAATTGGAAAATGCATTTGAAAAATGATAATTCAATTCCAACTGTATGCTGTTTCCAGTCAGATAATGGTGGAGCTCAGTTTTCCCTAATTTAACCCCTGCAGTATGCACTGCAGTCTTTCATTTCAATCAAACTAATACTCTATTTGTGTTCACCACAGGGGTTGGAACAGAAATTATTTTCCAATCGTTTCTTTCTGAACAGAACCACAATATTTTAGTTCCGTTCCACTTTTCCGACCAGCATAATAAAGTTCTGAACAGAACTACTATTTGCTGTTGTTCCGTTCCACTGTTCCGACCAGCATAATAAAGTTCTGAACAGGTTCTACTGAGAGAAAAGTAGTAGTTTATATAATTCCTTTCTGTTCCTTTTTTACCTTGTGAAGTCAACATAGTTTTTACATTTAGCTCATTAAATTACTCCACCAGTCAGTGCAGATAGAGCAGCTTTGTATGGACTGGGCAAGCTAGTTTACATCCTTGAATGACAGACAAGTGTAGGGCGCGAGATGTGACTTACATTTTGCGGGATGGAGAGAGATTGAGAGAGAGGGGTGCTGCCTTGAAGTGCTCGGCATTATAATGTGTTTAGGATATTAGTAGTAGGCCTATCATTACTTCACTGAATTACATAATTCTATGCTAGCTAGATACAGTGCCTTCAGAAAGTATTCATACCCTTTGACTTATACCCCATTTTGTTGTTACAGCCTGAATTCAAAATGAATGACATTTATTTTTGTTCTCACGGATTTGCACACAATACACAAAATGACAAAGTGAAAACATGTTTTTTAGATTTTTTTTGCAAATGTATTGAAAATTGAATACAGAAATAACTCATTTACGGTGCATTCGGAAAATATTCGGACCCATTGACTTTTTCCACATTTAGTTATGTTACAGCCTTATTCTAAAATTGATTAAATTGTCCCCCCCCCCCCCCCCCCCCCCCCCCCCGTCAATCTACACACAGTACCCCATAATGACAAAGCAAAAACAGGTTTTTAGAAATTTTTGCAAATGTGTTTAAGGTTATTGTCCTGCTGAAAGGTGAATTAATCTCCCAGTGTCTGGGGGAAAGCAGATTGAACCAGGTTTTCCTCTAGGATTTTACCTGTGCTTAGCTCCATTCGGTTTGTTTTTTATCCTGAACAACTCCCCAGTCCTTAACGATTGCAAGCATACCCATAACATGATGCAGCCACCACTATGCTTGAAAATATGGAGAGTGGCATGTTTATGAACCAAACATAACACTTTGTATTCAGGACAAAAAGTTAATTGCTTTGCCACATTTTTGGCAGTATTACTTTAGTGCCTTGTTGCAAGCAGAATGCATGTTTTGGATTTTTTTAAATTTTGTACAGGCTTCCTTCTTTTCACTCTGTCAATTAGGTTAGAATTGTGGAGTAACTACAATGTTGATGCATCCTCAGTTTTCTCCTATCACAGACATTGAACTCTGTAACTGTTTTAAAGTCACCATTGGCCTCATGGTGAAATCCCTGAGTGGTGTTCTTCCTCTCTTGCAACAGAGTTAGGAAAGATACCTGTATTTTTGTAGTGACTGGGTGTATTGATACACCATCCAAAGTGTCTGTTTGTTTTTTTACCCACCTACCAATAGCTGCCCTTCTTTACGAGGCATTGGAAAACCTCCTTGGTCTTTGTGGTTGAATCTGTGTTTGAAATTCAATGCTCGACTGAGGGACCTTACAGATAATTATATGTGTGGGGTACAGAGATTAGGTAGTCATTAAAATATAATGTTAAACACTATTATTGTACACAGAGTGAGTCCATGTAACTTATTATGTGACTTGTTAAGCAAATCGGTACTCCTGAACTTATTTAAGGGGCCTCCCGAGTGGTGCAGTGGTCTAAGGCACTGCATCGCAGTGCTAGCTGTGTCACTAGAGATCCTGGTTCGAGTCCAGGCTCTGTCGTAGCCGGCCGCGACCGGGAGACCCATGGGGCGGCTCACAATTGGCCCAGTGTCGTCCAGGGTAAGGGAGGGAATGGCCGGCAGGGATGTAGCTCAGTTGGTAGAGCATGGTGTTTGCAATGCCAGGGTTGTGGGTTCGATTCCCACGGGGGGCCAGTATGAAAAATAAAAAAAACTCACTAACTGTAAGTCGCTCTGGATAAGAGCGTCTGCTAAATGACTAAAATGTAAATGTAAAATTTAGGCTTGCCATAACAAAGGGGTTGAATACTCAAGACATTTCAGCTTTTCATTTTTAATACATTTGTAAAAATGTCTAAAAACAAATTCCACTTGGACATTTTAAATTCAGGCTGTAATAAATCAAAATGCATAAAAAGTCAAGGGGTGTTAACTTTTTGAAAGCACTAGCTATGGAGGAGCTGCAAATATGGAGGAACTTTGAACGTCCAAGAGTCAAGCTCAACGCTGAGGCTATCTCAACGCCCTGGACCAGAGCTAGCCAACAAGCTTGTGTGTGCAGCAGCACCAGAATTCAAAATAAGTCTAACCTTTTTGTTAAATTCAATGTGAAACGTGATAACTATAGTATCCTTAACTAGCCTAGAAAACTACAGTGGGGAAAAAAGTATTTAGTCAGCCACCAATTGTGCAAGTTCTCCCACTTAAAAAGATTAGAGGCCTGTAATTTTCATCATAGGTACACGTCAACTATGACAGACAAATTGAGAAAAAGAAATACAGAAAATCACATTGTAGGATTTTTAATGAATTTATTTGCAAATTATGGTGGAAAATAAGTATTTGGTCACCTACAAACAAGCAAGATTTCTGGCTCTCACAGACCTGTAACTTCTTCTTTAAGAGGCTCCTCTGTCCTCCACTCGTTACCTGTATTAATGGCACCTGTTTGAACTTGTTATCAGTATAAAAGACACCTGTCCACAACCTCAAACAGTCACACTCCAAACTCCACTATGGCCAAGACCAAAGAGCTGTCAAAGGACACCAGAAACAAAAATTGTAGACCTGCACCAGGCTGGGAAGACTGAATCTGCAATAGGTAAGCAGCTTGGTTTGAAGAAATCAACTGTGGGAGCAATTATTAGGAAATGGAAGACATACAAGACCACTGATAATCTCCCTCGATCTGGGGCTCCACGCAAGATCTCACCCCGTGGGGTCAAAATGATCACAAGAACGGTGAGCAAAAATCCCAGAACCACACGGGGGACCTAGTGAATGACCTGCAGAGAGCTGGGACCAAAGTAACAAAGCCTACCATCAGTAACACACTACGCTGCCAGGGACTCAAATCCTGCAGTGCCAGACGTGTCCCCCTGCTTAAGCCAGTACATGTCCAGGCACGTCTGAAGTTTGCTAGAGTGCATTTGGATGATCCAGAAGAGGATTGGGAGAATGTCAGATGAAACCAAAATATAACTTTTTGGTAAAAACTCAACTCGTCGTGTTTGGAGGACAAAGAATGCTGAGTTGCATCCAAAGAACACCATACCTACTGTGAAGCATGGGGGTGGAAACATCATGCTTTGGGGCTGTTTTTCTGCAAAGGAACCAGGACGACTGATCCGTGTAAAGGAAAGAATGAATGGGGCCATGTATCGTGAGATTTTGAGTGAAAACCTCCTTCCATGAGCAAGGGCATTGAAGATGAAAGGTGGCTGGGTCTTACAGCATGACAATGATCGCAAACACACCGCCTGGTCAACGAAGGAGTGGCTTCGTAAGAAGCATTTCAAGGTCCTAGAGTGGCCTAGCCAGTCTCCAGATCTCAACCCCATAGAAAATCTTTGGAGGGAGTTGAAAGTCCGTGTTGCCCAGCGACAGCCCCAAAACATCACTGCTCTAGAGGAGATCTGCATGGAGGAATGGGCCAAAATACCAGCAACAGTGTGTGAAAACCTTGTGAAGACTTACAGAAAACGTTTGACCTGTGTCATTGCCAACAAAGGGTATATAACAAAGTATTGAGAAACTTTTGTTATTGACCAAATACTTATTTTCCACCATAATTTGCAAATAAATTCATTAAAAATCCTACAATGTGATTTTCTGGATTTTTTTTTCTCATTTTGTCTGTCATAGTTGACGTGTACCTATGATGAAAATTACAGGCCTCTCTCATCTTTTTAAGTGGGAGAACTTGCACAATTGGTGGCTGACTAAATACTTTTTTCCCCCACTGTAGCTGGCAGGCAGACACTGGAAGCAGAAGTTCCTGTGTGACAGAGTAAGTGCTTTGCATAGGCGCTTTAATTTTGTCCCTTTACTGTTTTAACTAAGGTCAGTGACGGAGAACTACCTCACTGATCATTTGTTGTTTGTCTAATAGTTTTCTCTTGATTACCTCACAATTCACCTTTTTTATGTTCACAGAAACAATTTGAAGCATCTCCAGCTACGTACAGATAGTCATATGTCTATGAGTTACCAGTCAGTGAATTCAAGCATAGACCCAACTGATGGTGGAGACCAAATCATGGATGAAAGGTAAACCAGTACAATCAATGCAGAGTAGTAAAGCTGTATGTCATGTGTATCATGTACTGTATATGTTTATGGTATGTTCAATTGAATTGTGGGATGGTCTTTTATTGCTTGCAGGGTCCATCTGCAGAGACCAGTGTCACCAGCCCCCAGTTATGTATCAATGAAGAGTGACAAATCAATGAATGTCCCTCTTGGATTCAAGGAGGGAGAATTAACTCAACAAGAGGGGTGAGATAATACATTTTATTTATGGGATTTCATCCAATTTGATGTCACTAATGAATTAATTAACATTTACTTGTAGTAGGCTATAATTGGTTATGTGCAGTAGAATATAGAAGAGTAACCAATTATATTGTTATTATCCTATTCAGGTCTATAGAAAAGGGTTTTGTTCATTGTGTGTCCGCCACAAGAGGTCCCCACTCACCTTGTTATGACAGTCCCCCCAGGATTTGTTTTTGTCATAGTTGCAGGCCAAAATGCTTGATTCTGCTTTGGCAATAATTACATTTTGCATGGCAATTTGCAATGATTTTGTGCAATTTGTCACGAAGATGCGCTAACAAGGGAAAACGTTTGTTGACGTGTTGCTTGATTGAACCATTTTATGCTGTAAAGGTGTGGTGATTGGTTAAAATTATGAGCCCTCTTTTTAAAGTGCGTTGATCGGACAGTTATATACGGTAATATTGCAATGAATTGACCGGTTTGAACGGTCCCCAACCTTATACCCTAGACACCCACCTGAGTGACCCATACAATAAGGAGAAGGCCTTATCTGTTTTATGGGCCTACTGTAAGTAGCCTATACGCAGCCAAAACAGAAAGATGAATGTGTTCAGAAACCAACTAGAGCAGCACCGCCCCCTCAAGACTCTGAGCCTGCCTGCCAGAGTTGGTCCTACAAAGCCAGAGCCCCCTGATGGGAGAGCATAATATACAAGGAAATTCTCAAAGCTGCTAATGAGAACCTTGACGACCTTGTACCTTGCCGGTGGGGATTGCGGTGGGGTGCCCCCACCCAGGTAGTGGCAGTGCTGGCAACACTAGGTGCAGTAACCCATGGGGTGGGGGTCACACTCTGACAACTAGAGAGGGGGCAAATTATTGTGGCACAAAATAATCAAAAGGTCTGACTGCACACAGTTGCTTGGGAAAATGGTTACAACGGGGGGACCAGTGTGTGTGTCAGGGGAAGGGGGTGTATCTGATCTCCATCAGCTAGAACTTGACATTGGTTAATCAAATCTTCCCATTTTTGCCAATTTGTGCAAAATGTTACATGCCTTCTCAAACAGATGCAATTATATATGCATTCGCACATCAAGTCCTTTCTTGAGTTGGGCTCCGGGATGGAACAACTGTTGAATATCTGAGCTTGTGGTTGTTTGTGGGGGAAAAAGGTTGAGTGTGTATGATTATGTGTGTGTGTGTGTGTGTGTGTGTGTGTGTGTGTGTGTGTGTGTGTGTGTGTATGTATCCCACATATGTTGCTATGGGGTAATGAGTTAGGGACAATATAGGATTAATCAAAATAATTGTTTGCTAAAATAATAATTGCTTGCAAAAAATGAGATTTTTGTAATGGCAATCCTGGATATAGGTAACAATCCTTCTCATGAACTGCCTACATTATTACGCATATTATTCATTAATTAGGGAAATTAAGATACGCACAACTTTTTATATATACAGTACCAGTCAAAAGTTTGGACACACCTACTCATTCAAGGGTTTTTCTTTAGTTTTTACTATTTTCTACATTGTAGAATAATAGTGAAGACATCAAAACTATGAAATAACACATATCATGTAGTAACCACCCTTTGCCTTGATGACCGCTTTGTACACTCTTGGCATTCTCTCAACCAGCTTCACCTGGAATGCTTTTCCAACAGTCTTGAAGGAGTTCCCACATATGCTGAGCACTTGTTGGCTGCTTTTCCTTCACTCTGCGGTCCAACTCATCCCAAACCATCTCACTTGGATTGAGGTTGGGTGATTGTGGAGGCCAGGTCATCTGATGCAGCACTCCATCACTCTCCTTCTTGGTCGTATAGCCCTTACACAGCCTGGAGGTGTGTTTGGTCATTGTCCTGTTGAAAAACAAATGCTAGTCCCACTAAGCGCAAACCAGATGGAATGGCATATCGCTGCAGAATGCTGTGATAGCCATGCTGGTCAAGTGTGCCTTGAATTCTAAAGAAATCACTGACAGTGCCACCAGCAAAGCACCCCCACACCATCACACCTCCTCCTCCATGCTTCACGGTGGGAACCACACATGCGGAGATCATCCGTTCACCTACTCTGCGCCTCACAAAGACACAGCGGTTGGAACCAAAAATCTCCAATTTGAACTCATCAGACCAAAGGACAGATTTCCACCGGTCTAATGTCCATTGCTCGTGTTTCTTGGCCCAAGCAAGTCTCTTCTTATTATTAGTGTCCTTTAGTAGTGGTTTCTTTGCAGCAATTTGACCATGAAGGCCTGATTCACGCAGTCTCCTCTGAACAGTTGATGTTGAGATGTGTCTGTTACTTGAACTCTGTGAAGCATTTATTTGGGCTGCAATCTGAGTGCAGCTAACTCTAATGAATGTATCCTCTGCAGCAGAGTTAACTCTGGGTCTTCCTTTCCTGTGGCGGTCCTCATGAGAGCCAGTTTCATCATAGCGCTTGATGGTTTTTGCGACTGCACTTGAAGAAACTTTAAAAGTTATTGACATTTTCCAGATTGACTGATATTCATGTCTTAAAGTAATGCTGGACTGTCGTTTCTCTTTGCTTATTTGAGCTGTTCTTGACATAATATGGACTTGGTCTTTTACCAAATAGGGCTATCTTCTGTATACCACCCCTACCTTGTCACACAACACAACTGATTGGCTCAAACGCATTAAGAAGGAAAGAAATTCCACAAATTAACTTTTAACAAGGCACACCTGTTAATTGAAATGCATTCCAGGTGACTACCTCATGAAGCTGGTTGAGAGATTGCCAAGAGTTTGCAAAGCTGTCATCAAGGCAAAGGGTGGGCTACTTTGAAGAATCTCAAATATAAAATATATTTTGATTTGTTTAACACCTTTTTGATTACTACATGATTCCATATGTGTTATTTCATAGTTTTGATGTCTTCACTATTATTCTACAATGTAGAAAATAGTAAAAATTAAGAAAAACCCTGGAATGAGTAGGTGTGTCCAACAAAGTACTGATTCAAGGGATTGAATACTTATGTAAATTTGATATTTCAGTTTTTCCTTTTTTATAAATGAGCAAACATTTCTAAAAACCTGTTATTGCTTTGTCATTATGGGGTATTGTGTGTAGATCGATGAGGGAAAAAAAACTATTTAATACATTTTAGAATAAGGCTGTACCGTAACAAAATTTGAAAAATGTCAAGGGGTCTTTAATACTTTCCGAAAGCACTGTATGTATGTGCCTTTGGAAAGTATCCAGACCGAAAATTGATTCAAATTGATTAAATAAATGTGTTTCCTCATCAATCTACACACAACACCCCATAATGACAAAGCGAAAACAGGTTTTTAGCAATTCCAAATGAGGGGTGAGAGATTGACTTTATTCATTTTGATGTCAATTCCAATGAATTAATTGTTTTTTGTTCTGTTATATCCACCTCTCATAGTGTTGTTTTACTATTCTTTTCAAAGGAGACTTTGTTCAAAAGGATTTGACCCCTAACCTCACGTCCCCAACCCTTACCTTAAGTCTAAACCTAACCTTAATCCTAAACTTAACCAATTTCAATACCTAAGCCCTAATCCTAACCTTTGAATCTGCCGGTCAAATATGCACCTACTTTATGGCATTTTGTTGAAGTTGATATCAATAATAATTGGTTGACTTTTGATGCTTCTACTCCTCAAAGTTATGAATTACTCTATTCTACTGTACTTTCAGTGTCCTTCTGGAGAGAGCAGAGTCACCAGCTCTGAGTTATGCATCAGCAAAAAGTCACCAGTCACTGAATACGGATGAAGAAGACGAGGAGGTGAACTCAGCTCAAAAAGAGAAGTAAGATCATACATTTTATTTAGGCAGAGGCAACCGAATCAGACTTTTCTTACCCAGAGGCACAAAACGAATCACGTTCTGCGCATGTGTTAGATGCTGTGAGACATGCGAGCTGAGACAGGATCAGAGACATGAGCTGAGACAGGATCAGAGACATGCGAGCTGAGACAGGATCAGAGACAATTTCACCGCCGGGAGCATCTTGGCTAAATGTTTTCCTCTGCAGACTTCATGAGAAATATTATAATATTGGTATTGGTAACCATCTGGATGTCACCGGGATACAGTCTATTCAGTGGGGATAGCATGCACGGCAAGTCGGGTCACAGTGTCTTTTGTGGGGGTCCACCCACCATTAAATAGTTCTGTTAACATCATGGCGAGGAAAGTGCTAGCTAGCTAGTGTAGCCAGTTAATCAAGGTGACAGCTAAAGTACAAGCAACAGTGGTTGCTAGGTTGTGGTGATATTTGACAAATGTAAAAGGATGGCATTAACATTGTATCCCAAAATGATCAAAAATAAATTAAACTTGAACACTTAACTAACTCTCCCAATTTAACACACACACACACAAGAGAGGGAAGCGGCAGCGTTGGGCGCAAACAATTGTAAAGTAGAAAATCCTGCACATACGCAGATTTTTAAAAATATTTTGCTATCGGGAAGAGGCACACAATGTTTTTAGCAACCCAGCCACTCCATTTTATATTAAGGGTATTTCATTCAACTAGGGATCAATTCAGACTTCAAGATGAACTCATGGATAGCATTGTTATGTCTCTGCGTGCAGTTGGAAGGAAGTTGAAATAAGTTTTGTGAGCCATTGCTAACTAGCATTAGCGCAATGACTGGAAGTCTACAGACAACTTGCAATTGCGCTAATGCTAGTTAGCATCTTCCTTCAAACAATTGTTATCCATGAGTTTGTCTAACTCTGGGTAAGTAGAAAAATGGCTTAATTGCCCAAATATTGCACTATCCCTTTAAGAAAGGTAGGCTTACATATTTCCTAAGCATTTTTGGAATTAAGCACATGGCAGTTTTTGGTATTCAGACTCATGCGCGCAACAAGCTCTTTTGGGTGTCTTCATTACAGGCCATAAATAATTTGGATTCAACATTAAAACTCCCACCGACTCGTGGCGGACAAGTTTGGAGTTAACAATTTCCAATTAATATACCAGAACCAAACCAGTTACGGGTTATCTTTCATTCAACATGACTCGGCACAAGCAGAGTAGTCTCTGTAGACAGACATGTTACCTCCCACAATGTACCAATGTTCCAGCATGCACGTCTGTACTAAAACCAACGTCAGTTTGGCAGAGAGGAAAGGGCGGAGTTTGGACATCCTTCCAGAGCCCTATCCGTTCATGTCCTGCCGTAAACATTTCCGGTAGCTAGATGGAGCTCGCAGAGGATATTTTCAATGAGTGTATTTTTGCAAGTGAGTTGTTTGCATGCACCATGACGTTAGCGTTACAAGCTTACAACCACTGGCTGGCTGTGTCTAAAAATAGCCTAGCTATCTGCGTCCGCATTGTGAACGCAATTCAGGGTGTTTCTTTATATCAGAAAATGCCCATTGGTGCTGTCTATCAAGCTAGCAAGGTTTTCTTGAGGGCTTGAACGCAGCCCGCAAAGCGATTAGCCCTTGTGGCTGGGACCGCGGATTGTCCCGGGGTTATGGCTGTCTAGATTCCTGCTGTTTGTTGCTGTTTCCATCTTTCCTGCGACCTGCCATGTCTGGAACTGCGAGGAGTAACAGCGTAGCCTACATTTCTACCATGATAAAGACCAAAGCCGGTGGGAGTACCGTTGAGGACAGTGGTGTCTCTCACATGTGAAGGATATTTTAAACAAACAAAAATAGTTCTTCAAGCAGTTGCTACAACAACAAGAAATTAGCTTCAAGTGTTGTGTCCAAATACTGGTGGAGTCAACTAATAAAAAATTGATGACCTTGTAGCAACTGACAGTGGTGGAAAAAGTACCCAATTTTCATACTTGAGTAAAAGTAAATATAATTGCTCAAATATACTTAAGTATCAAAAGTAAAAGTATAAATCATTTCAAATTCCTTATATTAAGCAAACCAAATGGCACAATTTTCTTGTTTTTTAAATTACGGATAGCTACCGGCACACTCCAACCCTCAGACATAATTTACAAACAAACCGAAGCATTTGTGTGTCACAAGGCTGATGTGGATGCGGTGTTGGAGTCAGGCGCAGGACACAGAAGCTTAGTTGATCCGACTTTTAATAGTCACCGGAGCAAAATTCAAAATACATCGGGTGAATATGCAAAACAGTGCGTAAAGTGCGCACGGCACTAACAATAAGTAAACTCATACACTAAACCAATCCGACAGGAGAACAACGACACACAACTACAAACAAAACCAGAGGAAACTTATAGGTGACATAATCAAGACGTGATGTGGGACAGGTGCACTAAACAGACAAAACCAAACAAACATAGATAACATCAAACGGTGGAAGCTAGTACTCCGGGGACGACGAACGCCGAAGCCTGCCCGAACAAGGAGGAGGAGCAGCCTCGGCGGAATCCGTCACATTGTGTTTAGTGAGTCCACCAGATCAGAGGCAGTAGCAATGACCAGGGATGTTCTCTTGATAAGTGTGTGAATTGGACTATTTTTCCGTCCTGCTAAGCATTTAAAAAAGTACTTTTGGGTGTCAGGGAAAATGTATGGAGTAAAAAGTGCATTATTTTCTTTATTTTCTGCAAGTCTGTTGTGGCAATGGATATTACATTATCAGCATTTATTACATTATAAATGCAAAACTTATTATGGTATTAGCAGGTATTAAATTATTGAAGAACAGTTTGCAGTTCTCCCAGGGTCAGCTCGATGAGTTTTAACAGGAACGGCAAGATGACAGCAATATGTAAGTCATTGGGAGAGGACATCAGTTCTGTAAGTGAATTCATGATAACAATGATGGAGTAATCAGATTATCTTGAGGGACAATCAAGGTGGAACAACGTTGTTGTGGACGGAATTGCAGAATCTCCACGAGATCTGGAGTCTGAGGACAAAGTGAGGGAAATGATCTCAGAGAAACTGAAGATGGACCACAGGAAGATTGAGGTGGAGGTCACCAACAGGACTGGAAAACCCACCACCGTCCCAGGTGATAAGCCCAATAGTGGTCCAATTTCTGAATTTCAATGAAAAGGTAGCTGTTCTGGAAAGAGCCAAGAACTTGAGAGGAACGTACATCTTCCTCAACAAGGACTATCCTGAAGCTGTGCGCCAGAAGAGGAAAGAACTTATCCCAGCCATGAAAGCTGCCAGAGCGCGTGGGGACATTGCTTACATACGCTATGACAGGCTCATTGTCCACCCTCCCTCCCAAATGCCTTGTAAGGAGTAGAGAGCCTGTGGGTTCGTAGCTTCAACCCCGCAGCACACACACAATTATACACACCAACTGATTAATGGACTGCTGAATATTTGTTTTTCATCTCTGATAAGCTACCCAGGAAAGGGCTGAAAATTGCCCATATTAATATATGTAGCCTTAGAAATAAGGTTAATGAAGTCAATAACTTGCTAACATCAGATAACATTCATATATTAGCCATTTATGAGGACTTACTTAGATAATTCCTTTGATAGTACAGCAGTAGCAATACAATGATATAACATCTATAGGCGAGACAGGAATGCTTATAAGGGAGGTGTTGCTGGATACAGTGGCTTCAGAAAGTTTTCACCCCCCTTGACTTTTTCCACATTTTGTTGTGTTACAGCCTGAATTTAAAATGGGTTACATTGAGATAATGTCAAAGTGGAATTATGTTTTTCAAAATGTGTAGAAATTGATAAAATATGGAAAGATGTAAGTAAGTATTCAACCCCTTTGTTATGGCAAACCTAAATCAGATCAGGAGTAAAAATGTGTTTAACAAGTCACATAATAAGTTGCATGGACTCACAATAATAGTGTTTAACATGATTTTTAATGACTACTTCATCTCACATACAATTATCTGTCAGGTCCCTCAGTCGAGCAGTGAATTTCAAACACAGATTCAACCACAAAGACCAGGAAGGTTTTAAATGCCTTGCAAAGAAGGCCACTGATTGGTACAAACATTGAATATCCGTTTGAGCATGGTGAAGCTATGAACTTTGGATGGTGTATCAATACACCCAGTCACTACAAAGATACAGGCATCCTTCCCAGTTGCCAGAAAGGAAGGAAACCGCTCAGGGAATTCACCATGAGGCCAATGGTGACTTTAAAACAGTTAAAGAGTTTAATGTCTGAGATAGGAGAAAACTGAGGATGCATCAACATTGTAGTTCTTCCACAATACTAACCGAATTGACAGAGTGAAAAGAAGGAAGCCTGTACAGAATCAAATACAAATATTCCAAAATATGCATCCTGTTTGCAAGAAGGCACTAAAGTAATACTGCAATAAATGTGGCAAAGCAATTAACTTTCTGTCCTGAATACAAAGTGTTATGTTTTGGGCAAATCCAATACAACACATTACTGAGTATCACTCTCCATATTTTCAAGCATAGTGGTGGCTGCATCATGTTATGGGTATGCTTTTAATTGTTAAGGACTGGCAAGTTTTTCCAGATAAAAATAAATGGAATGGAGCTAAGCACAGGCAAAATCCTAGAGGAAAACCTGGTTCAGTCTGCTTTCCACCAGACACTGGGAGATGAATTCCCCTTTCAGCAGGACAATAACCTAAAACACTGCCAAATCAACCCTGGAGTTGCTCACTAAGAAGACAGTAATTTTCAGTAGCCAAGTTACAGTTTTGATTTTAATCTACTTCAAAATCTATGGCAAAACCTGAAAATGGTTGTCTAGCAACAATCAATTTGACAGAGTTTGAAGAATTTTGAAAATAATAATGGACAAACAATCCAGGTGTGGAAAGCTCTTAGACTTAATTGTAAAAAAAAAAAAAATTAAAAATAAAGAAAAACCCTTGAAGGAGTAGGTGTGTCCAAACCTTTGACTGGTACTGTAATGCACAAATACATTTCTTGGTAGTCCCAAAAATATTGATTGCCATCAGGTTGTAAATCACAGCTGGCCATTGTTTGCTGCTTAAATTGAGGTGAATATATTGATTAAGCTCACCTTGTCCAAGAGAGAATTTCACGGCTATTAAAACATCATGCCAAGGTAAGCCTACACCAAACACACAATTAATTAGATGTTTTTGTCAAAATCATGATGTGAAAAATGATTGGCGGAAAAACCATTGGAACCATTTCCGTGTTTTTATTGGTATTATGACGCGTCCACTGTGGCGGACTATAACTGATGAATTTATAAACGCGCAATACCCGTTGAATATGACTGGTGTCAGTAAACAGTCGGGAAGAAGACGTAATTCAATTGTTGCCAGCAGCACAGTTACTAATGCTCTAGATAACAGCCTAACCAGCTCTGCTAGGGTGAGTAAAATGGTCAGAGTGAGGTGTTCTCTCATTTGTGTCTGGAAGTAGCTAGCAAGCCATCCAACGTTAGCCAGTAAGCTTGGGTGCTTGACTGCTGTTGTGAGGTCAGAACGCTCGGAGCAACGCTACTCCTCAGAACGTCCAGTGTCAATAGTGCAGTTTGTGCTCTGAACACTAAAAAAAAGTGTCATATTCTTCCTGGGGCTGTATGTGAACAGAAGTTAATGAGAGAGTTCATGTTGCTAAAACGCTGTCAGTCCCACTTTAATTTACCTTTATAAGGCAGTAACTTTCTCAGCTCAAAATACACTTCTTGACTCTATGTAACTCACGTTAAATGGACTTTTACATGCATGTCCTCTCATTTAATCTCCTTCTTCGTTCTCCACTAGATCCACCTCTTTTCTCTGAAAACCTTTTTGTAACTTCTCATTGGTTGAGAAAACTGTCAATTGATCAGCAAGTGTCTCTTAAAGTAACAAAGCACGGGATGCCAAATGGCATCGCCACATTAAAGATGCGCACTATGCAGAAATCGCTCCGCCATTTCACGGTTGCTAAAATTATAATATTTTACCTAATTTCAGTTTGTGGTCATTGTTTGTGGTCAAACAAGCAGTCATTGTGTAGAGAATCATTGTACCATCTAAACCGCTGTGAAATATATTTTCCATAACCAAAGATATTGTATTTTCAGCTGTTTGAAGCTGGTGTACAAAACCAAAACGAAACTTCAGAACGCGAAGCACAGAAATGGAACACATAGAACAGATCTATCACTTCTTAGGCTTGCTTTTCAACGGGAATAAAATGTCTATAACTTACATTTCTATGTGAATTTTGGTTGGGTCTCCAAAAAAGTTACATATTGTAGATTTTAAGTAGTTCATATTTGTTCACCACTCCACATAAGATCATTGATTTTTATTAAAGTGCATTTTATTAAACTAGCAAACAAGAAAATGTGTCTTCTGCTTGTTTCCTTACCCCCCACAACAGTAGCGGTGGCAAGACCTTTGTGAAGGCAATTCTTGAACTGCTCGAACAGTAGCGGTGCGTGGATAAAATCACAGGGGAAGACAAGCCAGAAAAGAATGCCATATTACAATTATAATCTGTGTGTTGTAGTAATTGCATTGTTTGCTCTATAAGCCGTTAGTTTATATGCCTTGCCACCGTGATACAGTACATTCGGAAAGTATTCAAACCCCTTGATTTTTTTCCACATTTTGTTACGTTACAGCCTTATTCTAAAATTGATTAAATAAGTTACTGCAAGTCACAAAGAAAACAGGAGCTGCCTCCACTATTCCAGCATCATTTCAACTTTAAAATGTAAACATCATCAAATCACCTATGCTTACTTTAATACAGTGACTAAAAGATTCAAAAACTATTTAGTTAAATATCATGTGGCTGTCCATGGTACTGATTTCTCTCTGTGTGAGTGTTTGTGTGCATAAGTCGAAAAAACATGTTGACTAGAGAAATGCCAATGCCATCCTCCTCTCTTTCATGTTGAAGAAACGGTCTATGACTCTGTCATACAGTCCACACTTTTAGTTTTTGTTGTGCTAGGCTACTGTCGTATCGAGTGAGTGGTGGCAATTATTGCTGATGAACAAAAGGAGTCTGCTCATACTGAACGTTGATCATAAGGTTTATTCAGATCACAAGCTTCAGCATGAGTGACAGGTGACATGACACCCGGAGAGTGACGCCTCAGAATGGCTGCTCGTTCTGCCCTCTCCTTCGTTTTCCCCCCTATTTATAAACAATGATGCCCCCTCTTCTGGCCAATCACCAGTCTCTCCTGTCCACAACACACTTCCTGTCTGTTGTATGCGGCGTTCCACTAAAAACATTCCCTCTTGATACTAACATAAACAACATTCCCTTTCTTCATAAAAACATTTAACAAAGACATAATCTTAATACACTACACTACCTGTCTAAAATGCTTGCTTGCTAGCCTAACTTCCTGTCATGGCCAACGATGAGCAAGCTAGTTAACATTAGCCTACTACATCTAGCTACAAATTGAACTTCCATCCTGTCAGGCCAGGGGCACAACAATGTATGAGGTAATGGTTGGATCAGAATCGCCACTATAATCATTGGCCAGTACGGAGAATTAAGTAAAACCACAAGTCCAAATCCCTAACCCATCCATGGCTAATTTAGGAAAGGGACAATTTTAATTAGCTAGCAAGCCACCTGAGGACAACAACACAACGAGATGTTTTTTTTCTGTCACATTTACGTTTGGCTTGATGTGATGTGATTGGTGTAAAGGCAAATACGAACTGGCTTCCCTTCACACTTTTTTTGGGTGTTCCAGGACCATTCACAGTTGAGCTCACTCAGTTTAGCTCAATGCTGATTGGCTATTATGGTATATTTTTCTTTATCAAGGGAGGGCTAATGCTCGCTGGCTTCCCTTGCATTCAATGCTACAGGCGGTAACATTGTCATACTCTTTTTGACCAGACAGCATCAGATAGATGGGCTACACATACAGAGACAGAGGGGCGCTGTTTCGCTCGCTCAGATGCTTTCTCCAATGAGATACATTCAGCCTCTTGTGAATTGAAGAAAAACAATGAAAAACAGAGAGACGAAAGATACATTATTTGATATATTTTTTTATTTTTGGTACATTTTCGGAGGAAGCATCCATAAATACACGCCACTGCATCACACACACACAACTCTGAGAGGAGCCACTGTGCAGTGACCATGGAGAAGTTGTGTGCTTGAGCAAGGACACAACAGTAGGAGATAGTAGTTATGATCCAACAACAGCCCTGCCAGATCAATTGTGAAAACTTTCAGCATCTTTCTTTGTTCACAGAAACAATTTGAAGCATCTCCAGCTACGTACAGGTAGTCATATGTCTATGAGTTACCAGTCAGTGAATTCAAGCATAGACCCAAGTGATGATGGAGACCAAACCAAGGATGAAAGGTAAACCAACAACACATGCATTATTACATGGAGTTGTATGACATACACTACATAACCAAAAGTATGTGGTCACCTGCTTTGTTGAAAATCTCATTACAAAATCATGGGCATTAATATGGAGTTGGTCCCCCCTTTGCTGCTATAACAGCCTCCACTCTTCTGGGAAGGCTTTCCACTAGATGTTGGAACATTGCTGCAGGGACTTGCTTCCATTCAGCCTCAATTAGTGAGGTCGGGCACTGATGTTGGGCGATTAGGCCTGGCTCGCAGTCGGCGTTCATCCCAAAGGTGTTCGATCGGGTTGAGGTCAGGGCTCTTTACAGGCTAGTTATGTTCTTCCACACTGATCTCGACAAACCATTAATGTATGGACTTCACTTTGTACCCGGGGGCATTGTCATGCTGAAACAGGTAAGGGCCTTCCCCAAACTGTTGCCACAAAGATGGAAGCACAGAATCGTCTAGAATGTCATTGTATGCTGTAGCGTTAAGATTTCCCTTCACTGGAACTAAGGGGCCTGAACCATGAAAAACAGCCCCAGACCATTATTCATCCTCCACCTAACTTTACAGTTGGCACTATGCATTAGGGTATGTAACGTTCTCCTAACATCTCTGCTTCTTCCAGAGGCAGTTTGGAACTGGGTAGTGAGTGTTATAACCGAGGACAGACAATTTTTACGTGCTTCAGCACTCCATGTTCCCTTTCTGTGAGCTTGTGTGGCCTACCACTTTGCAGGTGAGCCGTTGTTGCTCCTAAACGTTTCCACTTCACAATAACAGCACTTACAGTTGCCTGGGGAAGCTCTAGTAGGGCAGAAATTTTACAAACTGACTTGTTGGAAAGGTGGCATCCTATGATGGTGCCACGTTGAAAGTCACTGAGCTCTTCAGTAAGGCCATTCTACTGCCAATGTTTGTCTATGGATATGGCTGTGTGCTCGATTTTAAACACCTGTCAGCAACTGGTGTGGCTGAAATAGCCGAATCCACTCATTTGAAGGGGTGTCCACATACTTTTAAATACATAGTGTAGCTCTAATGGTTCAAAAAATGTATATATATAACGAACAAAACACCTGCCTGATGATCTCCAAATCCAACAAGTTTAATTTCCTGAACGACTTAGTGTAACTCACTTTACTTCAGAAGACAAGACCTTCAATCCCATAATGTGGTCACTCACATTTCCATGGAAACTCCTACCAGACACAAGTGCAGTGGCCATCTTGTTTTGATCCTTGTTTTATCCTCTAGGGGAGTTGATGGAAAAATGTGAAAACAAGGCAATTACAGTGGGGAAAAAAAGTATTTAGTCAGCCACCAATTGTGCAAGTTCTCTCACTTAAAAAGATGAGAGAGGCCTGTAATTTTAATCATAGGTACACGTCAAATATGACAGACAAATTTAGGAAAAAATATCCAGAAAATCACATTGTAGGATTTTTAATGAATTTATTTGCAAATTAGGGTGGAAAATAAGTATTTGGTCACCTACAAACAAGCAAGATTTCTGGCTCTCACAGACCTGTAACTTCTTCTTTAAGAGGCTCCTCTGTCCTCCACTCGTTACCTGTATTAATGGCACCTGTTTGAACTTGTTATCAGTATAAAAGACACCTGTCCACAACCTCAAACAGTCACACTCCAAACTCCACTATGGCCAAGACCAAAGAGCTGTCAAAGGACACCAGAAACAAAATTGTAGACCTGCACCAGGCTGGGAAGACTGAATCTGCAATAGGTAAGCAGCTTGGTTTGAAGAAATCAACTGTGGGAGCAATTATTAGGAAATGGAAGACATACAAGACCACTGATAATCTCCCTCGATCTGGGGCTCCACGCAAGATCTCACCCCATGGGGTCAAAATTATCACAAGAACGGTGAGCAAAAATCCCAGAACCACACGGGGGGACCTAGTGAATAACCTGCAGAGAGCTGGGACCAAAGTAACAAAGCCTACCATCAGTAACACACTACGCCGCCAGGGACTCAAATCCTGCAGTGCAGACGTGTCCCCCTGCTTAAGCCAGTACATGTCCAGGCCCGTCTGAAGTTTGCTAGAGTGCATTTGGATGATCCAAAAGAGGATTGGGAGAATGTCATATGGTCAGATGAAACCAAAATAGAACTTTTTGGTAAAAACTCAACTCGTCGTGTTTGGAGGACAAAGAATGCTGAGTTGCATCCAAAGAACACCATACCTACTGTGAAGCATGGGGGTGGAAACATCAAGCTTTGGGGCTGTTTTTCTGCAAAGGGACCAGGACGACTGATCCGTGTAAAGGAAATAATGAATGGGGCCATGTATCGTGAGATTTTGAGTGAAAACCTCCTTCCATCAGCAAGGGCATTGAAGATGAAACGTGGCTGGGTCTTTCAGCATGACAATGATCCCAAACACACCGCCCGGGCAACGAAGGAGTGGCTTCGTAAGAAGCATTTCAAGGTCCTGGAGTGGCCTAGCCAGTCTCCAGATCTCAACCCCATAGAAAATCTTTGGAGGGAGTTGAAAGTCTGTGTTGCCCAGCGACAGCCCCAAAACATCACTGCTCTAGAGGAGATCTGCATGGAGGAATGGGCCAAAATACCAGCAACAGTGTGTGAAAACCTTGTGAAGACTTACAGAAAACGTTTGACCTGTGTCATTGCCAACAAAGGGTATATAACAAAGTATTGAGAAACTTTTGTTATTGACCAAATACTTATTTTCCACCATAATTCGCAAATAAATTCATAAAAAATCCTACAATGTGATTTTCTGGATTTTTTGCCCTCATTTTGTCTGTCATAGTTGACGTGTACCTATGATGAAAATTACAGGCCTCTCTCATCTTTTTAAGTGGGAGAACTTGCACAATTGGTGGCTGACTAAATACTTTTTTACCCCACTGTATATGGTTACAATGGCTGAAATAGACATATCCACTAATTTGAAGGGTGTCTACATACTTTTGTATATATAGTGTACGTGATTGACATGTATATAAAGTAAATGTTTCTTGTGAAATTTAAAGTTGCTTGGTAAATCTAATAAGTTCATGTATTTAATGTTTAATGTTTAAGTTGTAATGTGTGTAATTGTCTTCCACTTAGCATCATCAGGCCAGGAGAGGTGGTCTGTGATGTCTGTGATGAGGTCAGAGCTGTGAAGTTCTGTCAGACCTGCACTCAGTCCTACTGTGAGACCCACGTTAGGAAGCACTACACAGTACCTAAACTACAGAGACACACCCTGGTGGAGGTGACTGGAGACCTGGAGGAGAGACTCTGTCAGGAGCACCACAGAGCTCTGGAGGTGTTCTGCAGGACAGACCAGAAGCTGATCTGCAGTCTGTGTGCAGTAACAGAACACAAAGGACATGATGTAGTCTATGATGAGATAAAACAAGCAGGAAGACAGGTAGGTACTCTATTTTTTGCACCTGAAGATGCTCTTTAAAGAAGATATTGCATTTGATAATAATGTTATATGTTCTGCAAAGAAACAACTGTGTTTTCATCAGAATAATGGGTTCTTACTCTGTTTTCAAGACTTTTGATAGAGAGCAATGTCAAAGCCCAAGGCTGGCCTCCGTTGACGGTAGGTGTACAATCAAGAAATACATTACCTAAACAATGTATTTTGAGACCTTTACATTGTGTTCAACAACATGCATACCATTTTAAGATCATAAAGAGGAAGATTAATTTGTTTAGATTAATCATTCTTATTCCATAATGGTTGTATGTAGTTTTCTTTTTAGTGTGTGTCAGTGCAATTAAAGTAATTATTTTTCTCTTCCATTATTTCTATAGAAGTACTGCCTCCTCCTGGTGAGATCCAGTTCCTGTCAGTGACATCAGACTCTGTTTCTTTGAGCTGGGGTTCTCCTGAGGGAATGACCGGACCACAGAAGTTCATCATGACCTGGGGATGTGATGGGGAAGAGAGGAGCCTGAGGGTGGAAGATGGGTGTAATATTGAAATAGATGGACTCCAGCCTGGTAAAAAGTACCAGTTCAGTGTGGCTACAGAGGGAGAAGATGGCAGCCGAAGCAGATGGGTCTCAGAATCTGTATTTACAGGTAAAGTAACTTGAGTTTGTCTTTGGTTATTTGCTTCTAGGGATGTTGCTTTTTCATGTGATGTCCAAACAAGACATTAGCTATAGGCTAATCCTATATTTCGTTTCATAAAACATATTATATGTATTTTTAGTGGTCCCAGCACCCAGGGACTTACAAATAAACCAGTCAGGAGCGACTTCCTTCACTGTCAGTTGGTCCAAGGCTGAAGGAATGGAGAAAGTCCCACATAGCTTCCTCATATCCTACTGCCGTACAGGAACAGAGCCCCGTGCAGCCAATACTGAGGACTGCTACAGAACTCTCTCTGGCCTGCTACCTGGTACTCAGTACACCATCAGTGTCTCAACTGTGTTGAACAATGGAAAACAGAGCAAACCTCTCTCTACAACCATCTGTACAAGTAAGGCCTCATACTGACTCACTTCACTACCGGGGGGCAGAATTTGACAAATCCTAACTAATCTGAACCTTTTTCCTGAAGAGAAGTTGTGTTCTTGTTGCAGCTGTCCAAAAATAATTTTTATGGTCGTCTAAGAAGTTTAGAATTATAATTGTTAGAGCCTAGTGTTATTAAATGTAGGTTAGTGTCGTGACGTGATTTTCATTAATGTAATGACTGTTATTTATCGAATCACTAAC